GTATTTTCAAATTCTAGCGATCTCGAGCCGGTTTCTCAAACTTACCTACCCTACCTTTAACTATTCACACTTGGGTGATTGCATAGCTTTCCACATTCTTAGGTCAGAGATGCAGATACCTGTCAAAGCTTTTTGAATGGGATTCTTGTTGAATAGGAGAGTTTAACTGAACAATTAAGGACAGTTGGGTTTGGTTAACAGCAAGTATAAAGATGGCTTTGATGCTGCACCAGTGCCAGTTCTAAACATGTGTTGATGTCCCTCCGGTATTGATGCTTCAGCTTTCTCGAGATCTGCTCAACCAAACAACTTCACCATCGGCACTTTGCTTTACTGGGTCCTCTGATAGACAATCTCCAAGAGTGGAGTCCATTTTTTGTCCAAAAAAAACAAATAAATGTGCCTAGTAACTGGTCTTTCTTTCATTTGTTATGAATTTGTAGCAAACGAAGTGGAGCGAGTTAAATTACTGGATCTAAAGCAGGGGTGTCAAACTCAATTTCCTCGCGGGCCACATTCGCATAAAAGTTGCACTCAAAGGGCCGGTTGTAACTATATCAATATATATATATAAAATAATGTATTATATTACATTATTGCCTCTGAATTGGATTATTATCGGATAGGATAATAACTTAGTAATTAACTACGTCTGAAAGCAGAAGTCCAGGGCAAATAATTGCAAGTCTCTTCAGTGCGCATGTCACAAACGAGATGCATTGTGGGACATAGTTTAGTTTATGGGCAACCTGCTTCTGTAAAGTGGCATGTAACTGTATAATAAACGTATTATATTCTTTGGAAGCTCTTGCGGGGCCACATAAAATGAAGTCGCGGGCCTTGAGTTTGAGACCCCTGATCTAAAGACTATGAATGTGTACAACACTTGCCACTGATAAAAGGGTACTTCTGGTTACCTATTGTCAAATAAATAAGGTGGGGTAAAAAGTGTGATATTTGCCTCAGAAATAAAATAATAGGAAGTATAATGGAGCCTAGAATAGAAAGTACATTGCATTTCACTACAGTGGTTTAGTAAATGTATTTAGTGACAATACAACGCTGTATATAGACAATAGCTGGAATGATATTTAGTTTCTAATTATTGACCGAGGTTTTTCAGAAGCAGTCTGACCTGGTTAGAGTTTGCTTGTCTTTCTGCCTTGGTGTTGGCTGGAGAGCAGCCTAAGGCAATCTTTGATCATCTGGCAGGGAGAAGGTTTGAGTTGTTTCAGAGGCAGTTCTGAAACGTCCCTTCATTTTTTAGCATTTAATCGTTTTCCAGCTCTCCAATATATTTCTAAATCCCAAAGAGAGACTCCCTAGTGAGCATTGTACTTTCACATGCTTGTAACAAATTGTGAAAATTGCACTTAATTATAATGTCAGAACAAAGTGTGTGTGGTGCTGCTTAAAAGAGCTTTCATTAAAACAATCCAAACACATGCGGCTAATTGCTTTGGAAACAATTACCAAGATGGATTTAAAAGTCTTTCTCCTCAACTGTCATTTGATGTACGATGAACCTTTTAAGAGAGAATGCAATGACCTGAATCACTGTTTACTCAGTGCTCAGCCTAATATTTATACCCCCTTTTTTTTAAGCCATGAAGTGTAAAATTACCAAACATTGACGGCATAAACTTTACTTTAATAAATGGTTCCCACTTACTCAACCCTGTGGGGAAAGCACACGTGGAGACGCAGAACAAAAGGCTCATACATTCTCGACACACTCCAGTAAATACTATATTCAAAACCTTATATCCAGGTTATGAGTGATTCCATTTTAGAGAAACCTTTAGTGGAGTAAACCCTGCAGATCTGTCAGCCATCAGTGTGGCGGTGCACACAGCAGCGGGGGGGGGGCCGTGGTCCAGCTGAAGAGTCCCTCCTCGTCACAGTGAAGGGAGGCGGTCTCCGTGTGGATTTTGCAATTTCCCCAAACTCCCGCTCTCTGCAGACAGCTGATGTTTATCTGCTCTGCCCATCTGGGCCCTGCGACTAAACATCTGGTGGAGCTGCCACTGTGCACGCAGTGTTTCCCAGAGTGATGACAGGGAAGGGGCACTGCTGTCCACCCCTTCCCCAAAGATCTTAAAATGCTGGGAGGACTTCATATCCCAGATGACAAGCCTTATTCCTACAACCACTTTTTGTCCAGCACAAAATACATGTATCTGGTTGTCGTGTTCAGCACGGTGCGCTGTGATTATCCCAATTGTAGTTTTTAATCACAATATTAACACATAAGGTGATTTGAAATGAGACATTTCTTGCCTGCAGCTTTTCTTTACATTTTCAGGCTGAGATTATGATCTCTTCTAAAATGATGAAACAACATTATTATCAAAAAGCCCGTCAAGAGAAATTCAATCATTAAATAAAAAAGCTATTAATGGACCAACCGTGCTGCAAGTCGTTTCAAAGTGAAGTGAAGCGTGCTCGAGAGAGGATCATTATGGTCACATCAGAATCAGAATCAGAAACAGGTTTATTGCCAGGTAGGTTCGCACATACTAGGAATTTGACTTGATGTCATGGTGCATACATAAAATATAAAAAACAAGAAATCTAATATAAAACAAAAAATCTTTTACACCGTAATAAAATATAGTTAAATAGCAATAAGATAAATAAAGCAGTAGTTTGCAGGGAAATAGAATGCTATGAATGAATTTTAGAATATAAACTATGAAATGTGAAATAAGAATATGTGCAGTAAGGAGTATGAACATTGTGTGCATTAATGTAATGCATATAGTCTATGATATGATGTGGCAGAGGTAAAGTGTCAGTGGGGGGGCCGGCCCTTGTTTAAGAGGCCGGTAGCGGAGGGGAAGAAACTGTTCAGGTGGCAAGAGGTGTTGGTCCTGATGGAGCGCAGCCTCCTGCCAGAGGGGAGGGGGGCGAACAGTTTGTGTCCAGGGTGGGAGGGGTCGGCCACTAGATTGCACTTATGAGCAATCTTCCATCTATATGTTCTTTTTGTCATGGTTGTTAAGGAGCAGGTGTCGCTCCATCATCATTACCCAGAATCCACTTTAAACTGTTTTCAACTCTTCTATAAAAGACGTCACCACTTGTCCCTCTTCCCTCTCTTCTAGGCTTCCCCTCCTTCCTTCATGCTTCTCTTAGGCTTCCCCTAAGGAGGAGTTGCTTCTCAGCGGCTGGTAGTCCTTCATCCATTATACATGATCTGTTTTAGGCGGATGATCCGTGCAGGATGATATAAATACCTTCTTTGGGGTCCCAGCAGGATGGGAAAAGCAGCACAAGAGCAGGGCATCTTTATTATTTGATTTGATGTCCAAAGTAAAAGACAGCTGAGATGCACTAGTGACTGGCAGACGGCAACGCTTTCTTTTAATTTACGAGTTAGGGCAACTCTCTTGACACTGCCACATCAATGAGATGGTTCTGCAATTGTGTCCTCAACATTAGAGATCGTATTACTGCCAGCCACCACACCTCAATCCCCAGTAAAATAATTGCAAAATATCTCAGCTCCAGAGTGACGGGTTTGACAGCTGTTGCAAGGTAGCACAACTTTCTATTCCTGAGTGAGGTCCTGCCCTCTGTGTCCTCCATTAGAGGCCGCTCCGCTGCGGGAGGCTCAATGTTAGCATATAAAAGCAGCATGAAGTAAAGCCGGACAGATACGTGTGTGTGAGATGGTCAATTGAGAGAGAGAGAGAGAGAGGGAGGGCCGCCGGACCCCCCTACTGTGTCCAAATCCTCTGCTCTATTAGTCTGGCACTGTGGGGGAGGCAAGCCTACTGTTGAACACACACACACACACACACACACACACACACAACTACTACTACTACTACCACCACTATACTGTAGAAGGAGAATATTAAGGGTTTAGATGTGCATAACACGAGGAATATTGTTTATTTTATTATCAGGATCCCATGCTCTTAATTCAGTGCTATATTTCGTAACCTTTCGGTTAAACACTCTAGAGAGGATCTTCATGAACAGAGCAGTGCGGTTATGAAGTATATGGAACGGCGCCAAGCAACAGCGAATCAGTTATGCTCAAGGCACATAGAAATAATTCATTGCGTTGCACTGAAAGCAGGGGAGGCATGGGTGCAACATGGAACAGATTTCCTGTGTGCAGTGCTGGGTTCAGGTACATGCTGGAGTTTTAGGATTTGTCCGTTGCAAATGTGTTGTTCTGAATATGATGTTGATAAAAATATGGAGAGGGTCTACCATCGACTTATTTAACCATCTGATGTCTAATCCCTGTTTTGTTCGTCTTCTTGTGCAATAATACTTGTATAACCTCAAAACCTGAAAGGCATAATCAATGTAATTATTTTAAGGACACACTTAGCTATCAGCACATGTTGGCTTCAAGGATGTATCATTAAGAATAAGCCTGTTGGGGACTAATGGCAGGCAAACTAAGTGCATAATTATACTGTAGATCAGATCAACACAATTCCATTTGATCTATCCATTTCCGTAGAAAATGCAGAGTTGCTTTGAGTTGTCTCCTCAGTGTCTAACACCTCTCCTCTCTTTTTTCAGGAGCCTGCTGATAACCCCACTGGGACTTCTCCTGACTTTCTTGCTTAAAGGGCGTAAAGGCGAGCTAAATGCACCCGAGTGATCCCGGAGAAGCAGAGAAGAGAGAAGAGAGAATAACTTCCCACCTTTGTTCTTGCCTTACGAGCACGCTCTCTGTGGACTCCGTCTCAGCTCGCCTTCGTGCTGTTTAGTTGCCGTGTGTAGCCACCAATCTCAGGTGCAGTAAAAGAGTGAAAGAAGAAAGAGGGAGAGATAAAGAAAGCCAAGCAGCGTAATCATTACCGAGTTTGTGTCAGAGCCAGAAACCATGAGAAGAGGCTTCTGAAGACGACTTCTCTGAATAACATTGCGGCTAACCTTCAGGACATTTGTATGTGTGTGTGGGTATATGTGTGCACGCCTCTTTCATTTTCAAAGGACTTGTATTTGGATGCGGATTTAGCCTTTTCATTATGACTCTGCGAGGAGGCTTTGAGAGAGCGTGGATTGGCTGCTGCCGGGTGTTGCTGCTGGCTTGTTATATCACCATCGCCTTGGCAGCCAAACCCAAAATGCCAGGCCACACACACCTTAATTCAATACGCATTGATGGGGACATATCTCTGGGTGGGCTGTTCCCTGTGCATGCTAGAGGAAATGATGGCAAAGCCTGTGGGGAGCTGAAGAAGGAGAAAGGGATCCACAGGCTGGAGGCCATGTTATTTGCCCTGGATCGTATCAATAATGACAATGAGCTGCTGCCTAATATCACTCTGGGGGCTCGCATCCTTGATACCTGCTCCCGGGACACCCATGCTCTGGAGCAGTCGCTGACATTTGTCCAGGCCCTGATTGAGAAAGACTCAACTGATGTCAAGTGTCTCAGCGGCGGACCGCCCATCATCACTAAGCCTGAGAGAGTGGTGGGAGTGATTGGTGCCTCCGCCAGCTCCGTGTCAATCATGGTAGCCAACATTTTGCGTCTCTTCAAGGTCAGTTTCTCCCACAGCTTCTACTTCTTGCTTTACTTTTTCTCCAATATCTTTCTGGTTATTGCTGCGGTGCGGAGGTATATTAAAGTATTCCCTCCAGGATATTCTCACAACATATTTTTGGATATCAAACCGAAAACAATACAAACAAAAAAGGCAAACTTTTTTGATCCTATATTGTGTAAATAGCCCCACACTGTGAGCAAGTTAAGTTAACTTATAAACATGCACACACAAACACATACACTTTTCATTCAGCAGTTTCTAGTCTGTGTTCTTATTATTTTTCTTTTGACCTTTTTATTTTCCTCAGAAAATATCATATTTGTTTCAGACATTTTTGCCCACTGTCTAGGAAACTAGGATCTAGTCATTACACAAGAATTCTCCTCACTAATGAAAACAATTTGCCAACAGTCCTTAGTGTTTCCTTCTACTAATTAATTTGAGGAAGCCATGCATAGCACCATGAGCTCATTGCACTGCTATTGAATATGGTGCATAACATGCCTTTGCATTGTGTTGGCTCAACAAACTTGCAAATGAGGGCAAGATATAGCAAATACAATATATGACAACACTTTTAGCAACAACTGCTTAATGCTGTCAAGCCACAAACAAATGAGCATAAGGATGTGTCAAAACAGGTGTTCTTTGTTTTATATTCTTAATTATTTCAATATTCATGCCAGACTAGATGAAGATAGAAAGGATTATGTATTCCCTTTTTATCGGCTTCTCGGTCTTTATAAACTGATTTGTTTTAATCGACTGACCATTTTTTGCATGCATGTGTTCATTAAGTATATAATGGTCCTACTTTCCGTGTTCTTTATCTACTTAACTTTTGGCGACTAGTGAAATGGCAGAGAACATGGCGAGAACCTCCATCAGTGTTCAAATATCAGAAAAATACAATATGCAGCCATTGTTCATTCATGCAGGCTTTATCTTCTAAAAGGGCCCTAGAGGAGATGAAGTCTGAACTCCCTGCTGTTACATTGATTGAACAATGTCGTACCTGCCTGCCCTATTCCAGGTCTGACTAACTGCTCAGCAGAGGGCGAGAAAGTGAACAGTACGAGGCGCCGTGTCACAAGCATTACTTGCATGACAGACGTCAAACACAATACATGCTGCATAGAACATCCTCGCTGTTTTTTTTAGAAATTGATGGATGAGCTTCAGTATCCAGCCATCACAAACTATGGTCGTCTTCTTCAATGTCTTCTTCTGGTTTCATGCACATACTTGTCACAGGACACCAGCAACACATACATTATTATTCTTACAGCTGAGCAAAAACAGGGTGACATGTCTCACACAGGAACTGTCTAAAGCTCAGCAACACACACAGGTATTGGTCAGTAGGCTGCCCAAGCACTCTGTGTCACATGCCAACATTTTCTCAGCCTGAAGAAGTGAGCTCAAGACTGTTTTTTTTATATCCATGCACCAAGTCTGAGGGAGATGTTTCCAAGGCAGGACATCAACAACAACCAGTCCCCAATGAGCCATTCTTCACAGCAACCTTGGAGTCTCATCTTGGCACATAGCACAGGGGGGGGGGGGGGCAGAGGGACATAGACACATCACACACAAATATACTACCCCATCCATGCCACCTTTACCTCCCAGCAGAAGCATATATCCAGAGGCCAAAAACCCAAGCACCTTTTGTTTTAACCACACTATGTTGATGCCGCCAGACTCTTTTTAGAGGGTACATGCATTCACCAGAGGGGGGCCTTGTCCACTCACTGGCTTTTGAGACGTCTTCACAAAGCAAATTAGCAAGTCGATGTTTGGCCATTGAGTTACTACGTTCCATATAGCATGCCAAATGTGGCACTGTAAAGAAATTATTTAGTTGTTCCTTTTTCCCCTCCGAAGGGGACTGAGCTGCTTCATGCGGGGCTCAGTGTTCTTTGTCTAAAAGAGAACAGAGCTACTCTAGTAAGGCAAACAGCTGAGATGGACTGAAAGGGCGCACAAGTTATTCTGATGGACAATCATACCTTAAAGGTATATCTGCCCAACAGTCTGCTTGAGAGGGCCTTGAACACAACGGGCAAATCCCACTGAGGGGCAGAGGAGAATGCTACAGGATGTGGCAACTCCACTCCAAGCAGGAAACACCATATTTTTCAAAAGATTGATACTAAAAATCTACCTCTCTTCAAACTCACTCATGGCCCGAGACAGCTGACACGTACACTTTGATATTTAGAACCGACATTCAAGTCTCTAGAAGGGGAAAAAGGAAATGCAAGGATGCCCACATTTCGAATGTAGTAGGTTATTCTGGATAGTCACGCAAGCATTGAATGGCCAGTGTCTCCTTGATATAATACAAGCACTGAGAGGTTTTGGGAGCAGCCATTAGCTGAGCATGTTCTGCATATCCCAGCACTGCAGAAGAACAACCTGTCAGATCCCTGCATGAGCAGTGAGCAGATAAAAGAAGGGAAAGCGTGCGAACAGGCTTTCAGGTTTTAGACTATCAGGTTTGAGACGATGTGCAAATGCATCTAGCAGCTATTGGGGATTCTTATCGGTGGTAACAAATTCAGAGGGTTTTCAGTCACAGTTTACATCATTAAAGCTTTAAAAAGCATCTGGAAGTCTTGAGTCGGCGGATGATGACACATTTCAGGTTTGTTTTGTAACACCAACATGATATTGCATTATATCCAGGAAAAGCATGGATGATAAACAGGGTTGGTCATAGTGGTGCTATTTGTAGCGTGTATATATATATATAACAAATCTAACCTGGAAAACCCACAATTGTAAACATAATAGGAATGTTTCTCCAGTTGTAAAGATTAAATTGCTTTATTGTTATATGCACATCAGTTACAGTGTTGTTGTTGTTGGCAATTCACATTTGTGTAGCTTGCCTGTCCAACAGTGCAACATACAAATACTTAAGACATACAAATAAATAAATAAGTAAAATAGTGCAATTAAATAGTACATGTCAATCAAATAAGATACAAATATTTGTAACATTTTGTAATGTACAGTAAAATAGAATGGCGTTTACTGCAATAATATATAAACAAGTTGACTATAAACAGATGTGCTGTAAACATGAGTAAGTTATAAAGCTTAAGAGGACAACTTAAGCTTAAGCTTAAGTCTTTGATAATGTGTTGTAAAGAGTTACACAACTTTCCTATTTGAGCACCTCAAGTCAGCTAAATGAACAGTGATTCTGTTTAGCTAAAATGGACAAATGCTTCATCAACCCCGTCTGTAAAAAAGACAACTAACAGTGTCACTAAACTGAATATATTTAATCTAACAGACCAAACAGGTCAAAGCGGCTTCCCCCCTTGCTCGTCTTATTCTTTCTTTCTCTTATAATGTTTATTTGTTTTTATAATGTATGCCAAATGCCAAGTAGATAGCAAAAATTGCAAATAAAAAGGAGTAGCAGTCACAACACTGGTGACTCTTCTCAGGAAATTGTTCTTTAGATATTCATTCCTGTAGTATTTCAAATAAACCTAAGAAAACTGGGAAGCTTTAAAAGCCTTTAATCGACTTATCTTCTTTTTTTATACACGACAGGCGGAACCATTTTTCATGAATCACACTGATAGGGAAACAAAAAGCCATGGAAATGTGATTTGTTTTGGGCCCTGGAGTGGCCCCAGGTGAAAAGAATAATACTGGGTTCAATATTTTTAATAATATGAATACACTGAGTCATAAGATGATGCATGAGGTAGACCATGCAGTTATACTTTCATTTATTGTAACGAACCAAATGCATATCTTACCTTGTTTTAGTTCATTAGTCCCCTTATTCTTTCATCACTATTTAATTGTCACGATTCGGGAAAAGGTAGGACCCAAATGCAGTTAAAAAGGGAAGTGGGTTTCAAAACAAAAGCGAGCTTTATTTAAACAAAGCTGTTGGCATGAAAAAACAAGACAAAAACCGTGAATCAAAAACAGGTAGCATGAGGTAAGTGACAAACATGGAGAGTGAGAAAATACAACGAACCGACATGGAGCACAGGGGAAGACAAGACTAAATACACAGAAGGGTAATCACAGGACAAGACACAGCTGGGCAAGGGAGGCAGAAACACAAGGGCAACAGGTGAACACAATGAGGCCCAATTAGACACAGGAGGGCAAACACAGGAGGGAAGACCAGACACAGGGAGAACAGAATTTCAAAATAAACCCAAAACTTAAAGGTGGGGTAGGTAATTTTGGAGAAACCGGCTCGAGATCGCTAGAATTTGAAAATACACAGCCGGAAAAAATCTGCCACTTCCTTACAGAGCCCCTCCTCCAACACACACGAACGCGCACATGACCAATGAGGGCACGAGATAAGTTTGTGCACAGATGGAAGGCTGACAGGCAGGTAGGCCATCCAGTTATTTTAGCCGGGCCGGCTAAAATGATTGGTCGTACTTTTTACAGTATTACGGCTTCCACAGATGAAATTTCTTTATGGATTTTTTGTCAAAGCACTTAAGATATTCATTGCTATCGGGATGTTAAGAGCATTCCATGGAATATAACAAAAAGTGTATCTCACGCCGGTTTCTCAAACTTACCTACCTTTAACACACAAAACTCAAATCATGACATTAATCTTGAATCTGCAAACTAATAATGTAAACAGCATGATAAAATGTTCCTAGTGTGCCTAATTTATCTCGTCATCACTACAATCCAACAAACTCTCTTTTTCACAGTTGCATTATCTTTGAATTACTATTAGGGATGAGTTTAATTTTTCTCTCAGCTCTGGTAGAAATGCATGACGTTCTGGTGAGTTGGGAACCAAATTGTGCTCATTCTCTGGCAATTAGTCCATGGGCATTGTTGGAAAAAGCAGATATAATAATACCAACTAAAGCAGAGGAAGATGAGTTGAGTCGATCCATTTCAGGATATAAAACTCAGCGAAACTCATCAGAAACCACTCTGCTGCAATTACACGCAATCATCTGTGCTTGGAGTGGGGA